CATGGATGTATAGTGCTTTGAATTTGCCAATATGCCATAATCATGATTCATGGAGTGGAAGTACTCTCTGCCTCTGTCTACCATGCCAGAATGACTACACGCAGACAAAACACCAACCTATATGTAAAGAGAAACCACTAATAAATACTCAAACTTGATGGATAGACATTCCACTCATAAAAATAAAAAACTAGAAGCCTTTTCCATTCATCAGCTGAAAAATTCAACTTTAGAAGACCAGAACATCATGTCTTAAGTTTGGATCATTTAGAAATATATACTCCTCAGCAATACGTCACGAAACCAGTCAAACTTAGGAACTCTTCTTCAGATAAGGAATCCTTTTTCCCCCATTCTTTCATTCTTTATTCATCATTTCATCATCTTTTTCAGAAAGGTCAATTATTTCCAAAGGTAATGCGTAAGAAAAATATGAATGGAATGGCTATTGAGATCAGTCAAATGAGTCAAAACCAGGTTCAAATACTTCCAGTTCAAGTTCTGTAGGCATGTAAAGCACTCGAGAGACTATTGATGCTAATACAACAGACAAAAAAGGTTCCTTGGACAAAATTACATTGCTTAAAATTTATAAGGTGTTCAGGTCAAGTTTACCATGGTAACATCATCTGGCTTGATAGATGCTCTCTTCATTGATTCGAAAAGAGTGAGAGCTTCTTTGCCAAATCCGTGCCTAGCGTAGCCAATAATAATCGTGTTCCATGAGACTACCTCCTTATCCTCGATACCCTTAAATACTTCATGTGCCTCATCAATGCTTCCACACCGACAATACATAGCAAGAAGTGCATTTCCCACGTAGCACCCAGACTCATATCCTGCTTTAAAAGCACATCCATGCATTTGCTTCCCTAACTCAAAAGCAGCAACATCAGCACATGTACTCAAGATACTAGTAAATGCTGATCGGTTTAGCCTCTCCCCATCTCTTTTCATTTCCAAAAACATTTGTAATGCCTCCTCGCTGTCACCAGATTGAGAATAGCCAGAAATCATAGCTGCCCAAGTGATGCAATCCCGATGAGGCATTCTATCAAACAAACTTCTGGCATGTGCAATTTCACCATTTTGAGCATACCCAGTTATCATTGTGTTCCACGTACTAACATTTCTCCTGGGCATTGCTTCAAACAACTCCCTCGCTGCAACCATATTCTTATCTTGCACATATCCTGCTACCATTGCATTCCACGAAACAACATTCTTCTCTGGCATCTCATTGAAAATTCTCCTTGCCTCATCTAACCTCCCATTTTGTACATATCCTGAGACCATAGCTGTCCATGTAAACACGTCACGAAATGGGGACTCTTCGAACAATTTCCTTGCCTCATCCAGCTTCCCATTTTGTGCATAACATGTAATCATTGTGTTCCATGAGACCTCGTCCTTGACTGGCATCTCTTGAAAAATCTTCTTTGCCTCCACCAACCTCCTCTTCTTCAAGTAGGCACCAATTAAACAATTCCATGAAACCACTGCCCAATGCTCTTTAGTCTCAAACAACCTCCTAGCCTCTTCTATCATCCCATTTTGCACATAAGCCGCAAGAATCCCATTCCACGAGATCTCATTCTTCTCAGGCATCGCATCGAAAACCCTCCTAGCCTCATCTACAAACCCGTTCTGTGCATATCCTGACAATATCGTGTTCCATGAGACAACATCCCTTTCCGGCATTTGATCAAACAACTTCCTAGCAGCCCCAAGATTTTTGTTCCTTATATGACCACTAATAATAATATTCCAAGAAACCAAGTCCTTCTCAGGCATTTGATCGAACAGATTATGGGCGAGTTCGAACTTTTGATTCGACAAGAACCCAGATATCATTGTGTTGTAGGATACCGAAGTTTTCCTGGGCATGGAATTGAACAAAAGCAGAGCTGAGTCGCATTGTCCATTCCGCATATGGTTGGTGATGGCGATGTTGCATTTCACAATGTCGGAGTCTTTGAACTTGTTCTTTTTATGTTTTGGCCGTGAATTTCTACAGGGTCCTTCGACAGAATTGTGGGTTTTATGATGTGGAAGTATTGTAATTGGAGAATCGGACAATGTTCTGGACTGCAGTGAGCGCAGGCATCTGTGTGCCTGTCTAAAGCGCATAGTTTTAATAAAACTCTCGTTTCAGTTAGTACAGTTTTCAAATTTGGTAGTTGGGTTCGCGGTCCCTCGGAGCAATCTCTTCGTAAATAGCAGCGAAGGCCCCAACCTTTCATACTAGGTTCATCTGTATCCTAATCTACAAAATGGGGCATCAACGTTACCGTTGTTTCGATTTTGTTACCCCTTTGTCCTTGCTTTCATTTTCCATCATTAAAAAAAATAAAAAATTATTAAAATAGTATGTTATGAATAGCATTGAGAGGGTGTTTGGTGGGAATTATAATTAAATTTTTTATAAAAATTTTTAAAATGTGTGGTTGAAAAGTTATGGATCCCATAAAATATGTGGTTAAAATTTAATGTTGACTTTGAATTGAGATATTAATTGGATTTTAGTTCAAAACAATCATGCGCTTAATTCATTGAAAAAAGTCTCTCCGAAAACCTCATTATTTTTAGGTAGAGAATTTGAGTCACCGATGTTGTTTTATCCATCACTTTAGGAGGGCGATTAGGGTTTCTCTAGGCCCAGGATGCAAAATAATTCATTAACAGGGATTTTTACAATTAATAGAAATGATCTTGTTACACCTCAACACACGTGGCATCCAGACTAGGACCCTTTATCCATGTGGCAAAAATGAATGTCGGCAAAGTGGCTGACCTATTCACGGTATTAGAACCACTTCATTGAAGCCCTATTCATGGTGGCGAGGCTAGGAAGCATAGTCCGAGGCCCATCCTTTTTGCTATTTTGAAGTTCAAGGTTCTGAGGCGTGCAGCTTCGGAAGAGTTCGAGGCCCATCCACCTGGTGCTGACTTATGCGAAGGAGATCCTGAATCATGTACGAAATCTTTTAGGAATGATTGATGGAACACTAATAATGAGTATGAATGTCTTGTCAACAAAAATGGACTCTGTGTAAGCATTGAGTGTACTATAGGTTAGCATGTCAAAATTTATGCCTATGATTAGATGCTTGAATTAAGGAAATGAGACCACGTGTACTTCCATCCGAGGGTCGCCATTTCATTTGTAACACCATAAATACCCTCTAATGTAACATGGAAGAGAATAATGCAACTTTTGACACTACAAACTACTCTTGTTCTTCTTTCTTGCAAATTACATATTTACTCAACCATAAATTTTTGTTACCTGCAAATTATGATTCAATCAATTGTAAGATATGGAGATGAGTCGATCTTAATTAACTAATCATATCTTTCATCCCGCTCTTAAGTTAATAATCATCGAAACTCCTTTTGACTTATTAACTCACCTTGGCTACAGATTTGTATATCAATGTAAGTGGATGAAACACAGATCACAATCTCATACTATCTAAGAGTGACGAATCTTTACATTCACAACTTTCATATGATTCTTGACATGCCTGAATGATATCATATTAGCATAAATAAAATGAATCAATTGTATTAAAAATATTTATGTCCAAAATTGATTGGGCTTAGAACACAACACTTACAAAGGGTTACCAACAATTTGCTTCCTACTTATGCCAATTTTTATATATGGAAAGTTAGGTTGGATGAAAAATGCTTTTCTTGCAGCAAACAAGGAACTGTAATCCACATCTTGTTTGATTATGTTTAGGCAATAAAGAGATTTTAGTGAGGAAAAATTTATTACGTGTCGCTACCGAGGCTCAAGAAGAAACCTGCATGGCAATTAGTTAGAAGATTAAAAGAGGCTAACATTCCATGTCATCGAAGGTGAATATTACAAACCCTTGCTTCGTCCCAACTGGAGCGCCACGATTAAGTAAAAGCTCTATGGTTGAAGTAATGTGCCACTTGTAGCAAAACAACTAGAGATGTGATCCACCACTTCAGAATAACTACATAAGTGGTCGAAGCCTACATTATTGAATTGGAAGCCTTTTAACGACCCATGGAAGGCGATACGCTGTCTCAACGAAATGTCATATGAATGGTCAAAGTCCATATGATTGAAGGGAAAGCCTCTTAACTATGAAAGGAGTATATGTGATATACACTTCTCCCAAAATATCTTTTGCTTAAAGAACTTATGCAAATGATTGATGTGATCCCTATTGCAACAAAAAATAATTAGGTCTTGTTAGCTTACTACATAGTTATTTAGACCTAGGCCATATGGTGGCTTTTTTTTT